ATGGTGTGGGATGAAAAGTTTTTCTGACTTTAGATAACTCCAGCAATTTAAATAATTAGTTTTGAAGATCGTTCGAATAACACAGGATATCGATTTTCATCCGTGATGTTTAAGCCACCAATCATGTTACAAATACAGAATCAGAAGTAGGCTAAACTAGTGTCCTTTTCAGCAAGTACTGGCGCACTTAACATTTAGCAGAGTGGACAAAGGAGTAGCTTAAAATACGGATATGCTCAACTAAACTTTCCTGGGCTGCATAAATAAAAGTTCATATTGCGGAATACATCAAGCATATTGAAAATTAAGGTACCTACAATTGATAACGAGATGTTAACACAAATTACTATCGACTGAAAATCGATCATGTGAATGCCATGATAGGTACGTCGATAACGGAAAAAAAGGATTTTTCCTCAGAAATCTTTAGCAAAGTGGATAAATCAAGAAAAAAATACAAAAAACAATTTACTTCGGTTAATAGCATGAATAAGCACCCGAACTGCCTCTTATAATTCTCTTATGAGATAAAATATTCACAGTTGTTTCAATGGTTATGTTTAAATTCTCTCTACCAATGTTGGAAATGAAATGAGTCCGCATATGTCCTAAAAATGACAGCTGGGAGTGAACATTATTATTATTATTATATCAAATGGCAGGCGTCTTGATGGTTATCATTAGCCCATTAGTTGACTTCAGGCTTCACAGAGAGGAAGGTACATCAAATTGAAAAAATTCGAGAGGGGAGGGAGGACAGAAGAGTGTTTCAAAGATGTAAAAGAGGCAGACACAAAGGTAGAAAAAAGGTGAGGTGAGTACTATGGAAGTAGTCGAATGTGACATATAGTGAGATGACGGTAGTTTGAAGTGAGAAGTCAACTGCCGGTTAATAGACTTTTGCCGTATGTGTATACATTGCCCAGGGTGCATCACGTGGAGGTAAGTCTATCGTACACCTCCTGGGAGTGAACATAATCTGTGGTCTCCGGTGTGCACTGCTGATTTGAGCTATGGATGGGTGTACACTAGCATAGGGAGTGCTGTCAAAAAAGTTCGCAAATAAACCCCATAATATAGAAAATTAAAAAAAGTACGAAAGAGACACGGATTCTGAATGATGTATGGAAGATTGAATCAATGAACCAGGATCGATAAAGTTCAAATTGTGGAAGATAAGACCCACGCTGCAAATGATCACAAAAATTTTCCCTTTGAAAGTTGTAGCCTGAGCTATTCAGCTACCACAATGAACTTCCACCTCCACCTATTAAAATCGTTGTAGAAAGCGAGAATATTACATTATTTTAAAATTTCGTTGAGCATTTTCAAGTAGATTAATGTGGGCTCAATGTAGTTTAAAGATTTTTTTCCGTATAAAGAACCAGATTTTTGTAACATCAAGACACATAACGTAATGTATGCATGTGATAATTGCGTGAATTTTAATACATTATTTCTTGTAAGAAAAAAAGCTCTCCACATGCAAATGACGTTATTTACACGAAGGATACAGTAACTAACATAAAAGTTATACTTTCAGGGTCCTTTAAAATTGCGTAAAATATCCTGTTTTATTGCCTAAAAGTTAACTTCAAAGCGGTATTAGGTGAGCTCGAAATCTGGAAGTCTTTGCTACTCTGCAAAACAAAATTTCAGCATCGCCCCCCCCCCTCCTTTGGATAAAATTCGCTGAAATTGTCGGCACCAATTTTAATTGACACCTTTTTATTGCTTCATTTTCCTTATTTTTCCGCCTTTTGTCTCTCAATACTCCTTTTTAAATAAAGACCTTATCAAGAAGTTGATTAAAACAAGGGCAATACAGCTTTCAATGGGAATGATAGAAGAAGTGCGTTGCTTTGTCTTCAAAAATTGGTCCTTTCACTTGGTTTTTACGACTGAGATCCTCCTGCAAAATACGCTCCATTGGTACTAGATTCGTTAGAGAAGACTCTACTGCCGTTTGATGCATATTCAATACGTCTCTCGTCTTCCCATGACACTAACAAAATTCATCACACCGTCATCAACAGTCTGCTGCTGTGAGATACGCATAAGTGTGGTCCGGTTCATCTTTCAAGAAATAATTACTAAATGATTCCTTGCATTTTTTTTGCAGTTTTGCATTGAAAAGGCATTTTAAATTTGTTCAATGGTAGTTGAAGCCATGCATAAGAACATATCAATTCGTGAAGATGGAGTGGCAGTGGTCGTCCATGATTTGAATTTAGAAAACCATTAATTAGGTTAGGAAGGGGGGGGGGCGAGTTAATAGAGAGGACATGGCTTAACTTATTTAATAATTAACTTACTTTAAATGTTGAAAATCAGCACAGATTGGTGAAATGTCCCCATGGAGAGATACTCCACTGAATAAAAGGACAAAATAGATATGTTCGAACAGGCCGATATAGGAAAAGGAAGTAATTTGGAAAAAATGAGTAAAACAATTGATTCATGGGATTATTAATTTTTTTACTTGACAGCCTGAATAAAATGCACGGCCTTTCAAAACTACCTCACATTGAAACCGAATTCAATTTTATGGATGACACTGTATGTTAAGACTGTCTGTGCCCTTTATATGACATGGAATTTCCAGTTGGTCATTGGTCCTGAAATATATGCATGTATATACAGTGTATGTGTCCTCCTTAAGTGAAATATTTTGCTTCTATATTACCGGGTGGGGGTGTGCGATAGACATATCTCCACGTGGTGCACCCTGGGCAAAGTATACTCATACGGAAAAAAGTCTATAAATCGGCAGTTGACTTCTGACTTCAAACAACCATGACCCGACTCTATGTCATATTCCACCACTTCCACGGTACCCATCTTAACTTTTCTGTCTTTGTGTCTGTCTGCCTCTTTTGCATTTGTGAATCACTCTTCTTTTCCTCACCCCTCGACTTTTGTCACCTTGATGTTCCCCCTTCCCTCTGTGAAGCCCGAAGTCAGTTAAAGGGCTAATGATAACTATCAAAACGCATGCCATTTGATATAAATGAATATATTACCGGGTGGGCTGTCATTTGTTCCAAAAATAGTTTCATGAAATGGAATTTTCCCTTTAACCACCCTTTGTCGATTTTCGGAAAAACACGGTATTAATCACCTTTCCCAAGAAGATCTTGTTCAGCCTAACTGTCAAGATGGCAGATATGCGTATCGGTGAGATCAATAGGGGGGATCTGGCACCACATGCGTGAAATGATTAGCTCATCCGGAAAAAGTTTTCAACCTAAATAGTTACTTCGAATCTAATTGATGACACTAATAGTGTATGACCTTGGCCCAAATGAACCCTCTCATATTAAACTTGGAAGATAGATATTTAGAAGCATCCAAAAAGCTTCATCTTGATAAACACTCTACTCATTCCAAATAAGTAAAGAAAGCCAAAAAAAGCATAAAGATTTCAAGAGACAGAATGAAAAATCTCTTTATAAAAACAACACAATTTACAATTTGTCACGGGATTGACAGAACACTTCAGGGCCAATGAGAGTGTAAAAAGAGATAGAAGAACCCAAAACAATAGAAGTTTAGAATTCAAAAAAACGCTGATGTCGTTACAGGGCACTTTTGGGAGTTTTCCTTGAAGAGGTCAAATTCTGAATGGAGAATCTTCGGTCACGATCATCTCCACGACGTATCTGTTGAACTTGTTGGTGATTATATAATGGTTTCTGATGACTATCTGACGCCGTCGAAGCGGCCGGTGAAATAACACTAGCAGCAACCGTTGCTGGGTGCCGCGACATGGTTGAATGAGATCTATGACGAAAATGGAAGGAAGGCGAGTGACATCTATTGTTAGAGAGAGGAGACATGCGAGAGTTAGAGAAATTTCCAGCAGCTAACATTGCAGCGGTTCTAGTCGACCGAATCATACTAATGCTAGAACTAATACTTGCCAATCGAGCTTTGTAAGCCTTGTAAGTAAGCTAAAATGGAAAGTTAGATATTACATAAACAGTAGACCAAAATGAGTAAGAAGGAAAGAAAAATGACCTTCAAGACAGCGATCTTGTCATGGATACGTGCCTGTTCTTCATGGAGGTAACGCAAGCTGGCATTGCTATCAAATTCCACACCGTAAGATCTATCGATTGGAGGGATATCATGTAGAAGACCCCGATGATGAAAACCCGGAGTGAGGGGAGAGAAGTGTTGACGATTATTCCGAATATCTTGGGGAGAAAAGAGAGAGGAGGCACAACCATTTTCGTCATTTTCGAAAATTTTTCGTGTGCATTTGAAATCAACTTTCGGTCGTTGACGTTTGGTCGATAAAGGCGTATGAGTATGACAGTTATGTTGATAATTCTCGGCATCACTGGGAACTGACACTCGGACCTCATCACTGAACCGATCAGCCAGTTTATCAATATTTGGACTGTTTTCATTCATGTGAGATCTGTTTAAAGAATTACGAGTAGATTTGGAATTTGTATTTCGCTCGACTAACACTTTTTTTGCCACTGGGGTTTTTTTGGCTGTGGGAGAAGACTGAACATGAGGCATATTTGAATTCGAAAGAGAAAGTATAGATCCCGATCCAGAATTACTATCGTTGTGAGCGGGAGGAAAAAGTGGAATTTTAAAACTCGAATTGCCTTTGCTTGGCTTAGGTTCGGGGAGTTGTTGATAAACTGTTTTAGATTCCGTCTGATCTGCAATTATAAAAATGTTACAATATGAAGACATTATACAATAGTCACCAAAAAAATCACCATACCGGTCAGAGAATTCATTTTTATCTTCCTAGCCTCGGCAACTTTCGCTCGGTATAGTGAATCCTGTGGATGTTCATAGACCACAATCCCAGACTGAGTTTGTTGATATACGATCGAACCATCTCGACTCTAGGATTATATGAGGTGATGCAAGATACTTACCCTCAGTGCTTGCCATCCAATAGGAAGGGGAGCTGAAACCCCCTCTAGAGCTATAGGAAGCAAATATTCCTCTTTATCAGGGTCTATCCCAAGTCCCTTGGCATATAACCTGACTTCTTCTTCAGTTGGTTTTAAATTATCTATTTCCTCTAGCACTGTAAAATTCCGTGAATTTTCTGCAGTGGGTTTACTCTTGACTTTTTCCATTGTATGACACCACAAAATGGGATTCAAATGCAGTTCAAGAGGTATTCAAAAGTGCCGTTTGAAATCTACGATTAATCATTGCTCTACTAGAACAAAATATGAATTTATAATTGTATGATTATTACGAGTTACATGGCATAATAATTAATCTTGTTTCGTTCAAATTTTATTTACTTTTTAATAATATACCTTGATAAGTTAGCTTAATTGGATGTCAAGTTTTATCGCATGGCAAAAAAGGGGATGGGTTCATTAAGAAGCTGTTGTTTCGCTTTTTGTGGCGGTTCCGCCAATTTAAACTTTTCTGTATCGATAATGAAAGAAAAGATGTTTTAGTCTATGAATGTAACTTTTTTGAATGTGCTTATTGAAAGATCAATGCGCATCAAAACTGAACATAACTGTGTTCCATATAAATTCAATTATTTCATTAAGCTTGACTGATATACATGAGAAACAGCCATAAAAGTATTTCGAAGGTGCCATGGAAAGCATTTTCGCCAATATCTGGGGCATATGTTTAATTTTAGATTCGCTATCTTTCAGAGTATTATATACCATTTATTACTTAGTATACACAAGTGAGTAGTCAATTATTTATACCAAATGGCAGGCATCTTGTTAGTTATCATTAGCCCTTTAATGGACTTTAGGCTTCACAGAGGGGAAGGAACATCAAAGCGAAAAAAATCGAGAGGGTGAGGGAGCAGAAAAGTGTTTCAAAGGTGTAAAAGAGACAGACATAAAGGTAGAAAAAAGGTGAGTACTGTAGAAGTAGTCGATTATGACATACTGTGGGGTGATGGTAGTTTGAAGTCAGAAGTCAACTGCCGGTTAATAGACTTTTTTGCCGTATGAGTAAACGTTGCCCAGGGTGCACCACGTGGAGGTAAGTCTATTGTACACCCCGTGAGCAGTCAATTCGGTGTAGCTACACAATTAACAAAATTGGATTTATATACCAATCACACAAATCAAATCGTTTTCCCTTATAGGAAGATCATGGTTGGAGAAGGCAATGTGCCATACTATTTAGCAAAACAAAAGGTAAGCTATAAAATGGATGCAAGTATATAAGGAATAGTGAAATAAAAAGAGTGATTTAGAGATTTATGGAGAATGTGCTCCAATTTTTATCAAGTTGATCCATCCTAACATTGACGTTGAATGAATACCTATCATTTTTATATATTAATTAGGTGGTACTTTAATTTCAATGAAAACTGGCAATCAAGAAAATAATTAGATTATTTTTTTCTGTACTCTAGGAGTTTTTTCATTTTTCTGTCTCTATTTCAACAGAGCAATTTATTTAATTACTTTATCCTACATAACATTGCTGAAAAAATACAGGTAAAATTAAATAGCATTTCATGATTATTTATTGATTAATGTTCATCCCTTCTAGTATTATTTCATTCAAATATGTATAAAAATATTAATTAAATTAGACGCCTAAATATGATTGACGCTTGCGTTTTTACTAATGTTTAATGGAAACATTAGCAAATAACGTGATTTATGAAATTCACTCAAAATCGTTGAATATTAATTTAATAAAACATGAAACGGACGCTTTATCTGAAATGCAAAAGTAAAGAATTGGAAAAGGAAAAAATAATGCATTTAAATTAGTCCACTATTAATATTAACGAAAACCTTTTCACGAGAAAAATAAATAATGAGTAAATGCAACTTTAAATTTAATGTGTCGTTAATATTATTTTTCTTTCTGTAAGTTGTTTAATGTACCTTTTATCCTAAGCACAATTATATACTATTTTGAAAATGCCTGTGGTTACTGCGCAGAGAGTCACAACTGGTCAGGTATTAGGTTAAGCTAATTTACTATCTGAATAGTGGCAAAAGACATTTCCATTACAAATTAATACTGAGACACTGTCACTCGTCTTTGTGAAAAAATTGTTTGCTGTAGCTGTTTCAAATGTGGCATTTGTTCGCAAGCTCTTTCCTGACAATGCCTTTTTTGATAAGAATATTGAAGGTATAGCTGATTATAATTTTCATTTTTAGGAATTTGCCTGAAAATTTTAAAAGAAGAAGCGTCGTGTCCAGGAACATGCAAGGTCGTTTTTTGGCTTCGAGGGTGCTTCGATGCTATTGAGAAAAAATATGTATGATTATGCATTTACTTTTACTTTTTTAGCTACGAAAGGCAACTCTAGCTTTATATGAAGATCCTGAAGATCCAAAGGTATAATATTAAATATGTTTATACCTATAGACTATAATGGAAACGTTTTCATTTACCTTTAAATATGATTGCGAAGATGGGGCCTCAATGGAAATGGAAGCTGATACTATAAAGTAAGACCTTTACTTTAATTTACTTCAGTGGTTCTTCAAAATCTATGGCTAGTCTTCCCAGAGACGAGAGGGTTAAACTTCAGACAAAGAACCTGCTAAATACCATCTTAACAGCTGGAAAAATGCTTGGACCTCTACCCAAGAAAATGATGCTTACCATGAAATTGCAATATTACAACAGTACCTTAATTTCAGAGTTTAATTATTTTTCTTTAGCTGCCCCAGGTGATTATGTGCCTAATGGTTTTAAAATCGATGAAAATCCGGAATTGACTTTCCAAAATGACCCAATAAACCTGAAAATCGGGGAAATTGACACCGATTTTCACAAGTAATTTTATTTAAACCCATTTTATTTATAGTGTCCGAATGGTTGTTCATACAATCCCAAGTCTTGTTGTTGCTTCTCCGGATAAATTAAAGTCAGCCATAGAGGTTATAAAGGTATTATCCTCATTCTGTTGTTTCATTCCATTTTTCTAAAGTCAAAGACCCCATCATCGCATGGTATTACCATTAAAACTTCAAATATAAGTCATACACCACGGTCTACATATCAACCAACTCAGCCTGAAATGGAAGAGCAGGTTGAGGAGGAATTTGAAGTTTGCTGTCCTTGTGGTGTAAATAGCGTAAGTTTTATCTGAGAGGCTTATTTTAAATATTATTATTATTATTATTATTATTATTATTAAATATACATTTAGGATGACGGAGTAATGATTCTTTGTGATGGCTGTGGAAAATGGCAACATGCTGTTTGTTTCCGCATAATAGATGATGACGATATTCCTCAGTCGCATTTGTGCAACTCCTGCGCCAAAAATAAGGTCAGTAAACCAAATAGAACACATACATTCTTCTCTGAATTATTAAGTCATTGATTTTGGGTTGATTCAGATTGAAATGATCGCGTCTGGAAGCAAAGTGGATTCGACACTAACAAATCTCACCGAAGAGCAGACTAAGGTATTTTGTTATGACTTTCCACTCAATTGGCTAAATTATGTTAAATCTATATTTTTGACTTTTTAGCATATTTGCCTTCTACGGCGGGCCATCCTATTATGTTTAGATAATGACATTCTTTCAGCTAATATTATTGCAAAGTGTTTGTCTGTTGAAAGTAATGTTGCAAAAGGTCTTCTTAATAGGCTTATTGATGAGGGCGCGTTAAAGGATATTCGCGGAAGAAGGTAAGAATGTGCTCATTTAGCCCCAATTTCCTTTTACGTAAACAAACCTCATTAAAAATTCTTCGTTTAAAAGCGGAAACAAAGCCGTTTTAAAAGCACATATTGAGGCTGTACTGATACCTCGATTCTTTACAACAAACCAAACCTCACCGCTAGTCGAGGTAAGTTAACTTATACTGAACTGGATTATCCCATTTAAGCATGAAGAAAAAGACAATGCCGATAAAGTGCCCTCGACGTCTAGAGGAAAGCGCGGCAGAGCGGATGAAGCAAGTGACTTAATAACAAATACACCCATTCCTGAAGTTTCTTTAATGTTTTAAAATATTTTTTTAGATTAATGACATAACATCTGCAACAGAAGATTTGGAAATATCAAATGATTTCAACGTAAGGAATATTGTGGTAATTCAGGAAGATATTTTTTGTTTATAGAGTTTGAAAATGAATTCACAATCTTAAAATTAAATTTTATTTTCAGTTACTCAGCCAAGAATCCATGGATTCACCAAAACCAAGCAAGAGACGGAGGAATTACAATACTGTCAACACACCAATTCCAATTGCCCCTCGATGAATTTTTTGAACAATTTCATAAACTGTGTTTTACTACCGTTTATTTTGTACTAAGTGCCTGATCCGTTACTGTTTCTGTTAGCACCCTCACTTCCGCATTACTGTCTTTTGATAAATGCTTTGATAATTCATGACGATTGCCTGATTTTCAACTTTAAATTTCTTAAGATGTTTGGTAAATTGCACTAATATTAGGTAATTAATTACTAACTTCCATCGGAAACAATTAATTTAAAAAAGACAGAAACTGCCGATCTATCGATTGTTTTCTCCATACGATGGCCTTCGCATCCTTTTTAATAAAAGCATATCGATTTATTGTGTTCAAGACCACCTGTTCGCTTAAAAATCGATAACGACAAAATCATTTCCGAAGTAATTTCCGACGTGAAATTTGTAACCCATCCATATTTGAGGATTTGATTCGCAAAATAATAACTCATTCGTAGATTATTATCAGATCAATTAGAATAAATAGCATTATTCCGGGTAAAGCAATCGCCTTTCTTTAAAGAAGATTGCTATTAGAACAATATATTTTTAGATTTCCAAGTGAACTTCTAATTTAGGTATCTTAGTTTTTATATGATCACTTAGACCAAAATACCAACACTTTGAGAAGTGTTTAGGGTTCTATGCTGCCCTTAAACAAGATATTTCGGTTCTTCAGATTTTTATTCCTCTTATTTTTCACAAGTATGAAAGAGTTATGAAGATTGGTCAGTCTTCGATGAATTATTTCTATGTTGTAAGTTATCGATCTCCCTTCAGAAAAACGTATCAATGATCAAGATAGACTGAATAGTAAACCATATCATTGATTTCAACGAGATTACATTTAAGAGAACAAGTATTTAAATAGTAATTGCATTGCGATTTGAAACTACTAGGGGTTTGATAATGACAAGCAATCTATATTAATGTTCTCATGCATACATGCCAGACATATCACGAATAGGGTCTTGTTTCGATGAATGAATATTTGAAGATCTTTTTTCATTTGACACCTTTATATATATATTTCTTTTAAATTGTCCGGTTACGGGTCGGTAAGAAGTGCTTAGTCTTGTAGACAGTACAGAAGAGTCAAAATTTGTGTTTTTTCATCATTTGCTTTAAAATTCCCAGTTGCTTTGAGGTTAATGATACGTAGTGGCGAGATATTTTCTAGATGTCGAATAAATAACCTTTTACTTCATCCGAAACAACATTATTATAACTTTCCTATGTGAAAGTACAAATATTCAAGCTAGAGATTCTTTGATATTCTTGAAAATACAAATAAGAAGGAGACTTCAATTTGTAAAGTAATATTCAGTCAGGTTAGATAATTACCTAGAGGAAACGACCGAAAAAGAAAATTGTATGCTAAGAATACATTTTTAAAGCAACCTCTCTTATTGTACATTACGCAAAAAAATTATTCCTACTGAAAATTAATTTAGTAAGACATGCAATCTTTCACTTAAGAACTTTTCTATCTAGATAAAATTTTGTTAAGTCATAAATTCACTTGTAATATCAGGGCTGGTAAGAGCAGAAAGGCAATCGAAAAATCCAACAGAGCCTGTTGGTTGATTAGTAGCCAAATAAAGGAATTCATTGTTTAAGAAAACGACAACACATCACCCAAACTCGAGATGAAACAACAATAACACTATGCACGAATGAACCATAAACAGCTCAGGGAACTAAACTACGGTCGAATTTACTCTTGAGATCTATGACCTTCCTGGTTATGGAATTCACATATTACCACCTGCCTGTTGAGCAGTTTTAAAGAGTAAAACTGTTAATCTAACCAGTGGATCTCGAACCTGTGGTTTCGTTAAGCAATTCACCTAACTAGAGTCAGAATATTTCTGTTCGAGAGGTGTGCAATAGACTTACCTCCACTTGGTGCACCCTGGCCAACGTATACTCATACGGCAAAAAAGTCTATTAACCGGCAGTTGACTTCTCACTTCAAACTACCATGGCCCGACTGATTGTCAAACTCGACCCCTTCCAGAGTACTCATCTTACCTTTTTCTCTACCTTTGTTCCGTCTGTCCC